TGCATATCTCTGGCAAAACTTTTTTTTTACTGCGTATTCGGGGCAGTACTGTGTTCTGCAGTATCTCGGCAGAAACTTTTTGGGTTTACAGCATATCCGGCAGTACTGTTTTACGGCAGTATCTCGGGCAAACGTTGTTACGGCAGAAACCGGCATACTGTTGTTACTGAGTTTTTTCTGGCAGTACTGTTGTTAAAAGCATATCTCTGGCATACGTTGTTAGGTGGGATCCGGGCCCAGTCCGGTTTTTTAAATGCAGTATCTCAGCAGTACGGTTTTTAAAACTGCATTATCTCTGGCAGTACTGTTGAACTGATAATCCGGCAGTATTTGTTTTACTGCATTTAATCTCGGGAAAAGAAATTTGGTTGAAACTGTAGTTTCCTGGCAGACGGTTTTTAAACAGCAGAAACTCTGGCAGTACTGTTTTTTTACTGAAGTACCCTCTGCATACTGTTGTTACTGCAGTATCTCTGGAGAAACGTTGAAACAGAAATATCTCTGGCAGAAACTGTTGTTACCCCGAAATCTCGGGCAACGTTTACGTAGTCCCCTCGGGCAAAACTTTTGTTTAAAAGCAAAAATCTCGGGCATACTTTTTGTTACTGAGTATCTCGGGAAAACGGGTTTTTACTGAAAGTATCTCTGGGGGTACTTTTTTTAAACGGCGGGAAATCTCGGGCAGAAACGGGTTTTACTGCAAAATCTCTGGCAGAAACTTTTTGAAACGGGTAAAATCTCTGGAAAGTATGTTTTTTAAAACCCAGTATCCTGGCATAAATTTGTTTTTACTGAAGTATCCTGGCAGTAGTTTGTTACTGCGGGATCTCTGGCAGTACTGTTGATACGCATATCTCGGGCGGGTACTGTTTTTACTGCAAAACCCCCCTTGGCAGTACTTTTGAAACTTTTAGAAACTCTGGCATACGTTTTTTTACAGCTTTTTCTCTGGCAGTACTTTTTGGTTACTGCAGTAATCCGGGAAAGTACGGGGTTTTTACGCAGTATCCGGGCAAAACTGTTGTTCTGCAGTTCTCGGGGCATACTTTTGGTTACAGCATATCTCTGGCAGTCTGTTTTTACGGGCAGTATCCTGGCATACTTTGTTACGGGAAAGAAACTCGGGCAGTACTTTTTGTTCCTGCAGAACCCCTTTTGGGCCAAGTACGTTTTTTACACCCAGTATCTCGGCAGTACTGTTGTTTACTGCAGTATCCTGGCAGTACTGTTTTTAAAGGGCAGTACTCTGGCATACTTTTTTATACTGCAGAAATCTCTGGCAGTACTGTTGTTACTGCAGACTTTTGGCAGTACTGTTTTTACTGAAGTATCTCTGGCATTTAAAGGTTGTTACGGCAGAAATTTTCCTGGCATTTAACTGTTTTTTACTGCAGTTCTCGGCGGGACTGTTGAAACTGCAAAAATTTTCTGGAGTCGGTTTTTTTACTGCAGAAACTCTGGCAGTACTGTTTTTACTAAAGTACCCGGCATACTGTTGTTACCCCGTTCCGGCAGTACGTTTGTTACTGCAACTCTGGCAAATTTGTTTTTACTGAAGTATCTCTGGAGTACTGTTTTTTACTCCCGTATCTCGGCAGTACTGTTGATACAGCAGTTTTCTCTGGCAGTCCCTGTTTTTTACTCCCGAAACTCGGGCAAAACGGGTTGTTACCCCGTATCTCGGGCAGTACTGTTTTTAAAGCATTACCCCTCGGCATTACTTTTTTTCCGCAGACCCCCCCCCCCCTGGCAATACTGTTTGTTAAAAAGCAGAAATCTCGGGCAGTACTTTTGTTACTGTTAAACCCCGGGGCAGAAACTGTTTTTTTACTGCAGTATCTCGGGCCCGTACTTTTTGTTACTGCAGTATCTCGGGCCCAGAAACGGTTTACTGAAATTTATCTCTGCAGTACTTTTTGTTACTGTATATCTCGGGCCCAATACGGTTGATACGTGAAATCCGGGCAGTACTGTTTTTAAACTGCAGAAATTTTTCTTCAGAAATTTGTTACAGCAGTATTCTGCATACTGGTTTATACAGCAGAATCTCTGGTTTCCGGGTTTTACCCCAGAATCCTGGCATAACTGTTGAAAACTGCAGAAATCCTGGCAAGTACGGGTTTTTACTCATTTATCTCGGGCATTACTTTTTGTTACTGCAGAACCTCTGGCATATTTTTTTGTTATTTGCATATCTTTTGGCAGAAACGGTTGAAAACAGCAGTACCCTCGGGCAGTACTTTTTTTAACTGCAGAAATCTCGGGGGCATTTTAACGGGTGTTTTTACGGCAGTAATCTCGGGCAGTACGTTTTTAAACTGTAGTATCCGGCCCTACTTTTTGAAAACTGCAGTATCTCGGGCCCGGACGGGTTTTTACGGCAGTATCTCTGGCATTTACTGTTGAAAACCCCTTTCCCCTCTGGCAGTACTGGGGATACTCAGTATCCCTGGCATACTGTTGATACTGCAGAAATCTCTGGCAGTACGGTTTTTTAAAAAGCAGTTTCTCGGGGCAGTACTGTTGTTACTGCAGTATCCTGGCATTTACGGGTTTGTTACTGCAGAAATCCGGGCAGTACGGGTTGTTACAGAAAAGATCTCTGGCAGTACTGTTGTTAAAAGCAGTATCCTGGCAGTACTGTTGATACAGCAGTTTTCTCGGCAGTCTTTTGTTAACGGCATATCCCCCTGGCATACTTTTTGTTACTGAAAGAAACCTTTTGGCAGTCGTTTTACTGCAGTAATTCTGGCATTACGGGTTTTTACGGGCAGTATTCAGGCATACTTTTGGGTTACTGCAGTTTCTCTGGCAGTACTGTTTTTTACGGGCAAAACTCTGGCAAACTGTTGATACACCCGAAAAAAAAAATCTCTGGCAGTACTGTTGATACTGCAGTATCCTGGCAGAAAACGGGTTTGTTACTGCAGTATCCCCTGGCAGTACGGGTTGGGTTACTGCGTATCTCTGGCAGAAACGTTTTTAAACTGCAGTATCTCTGGCATACGTTTTTAACGGCAGTATCTCGGGCCATACTTTTGTTACGGAAAGTATCTCGGCAGTACTTTTTGATACTGCAAAATCTCTGGCAGTACTTTTTGTTACTGCAGTATCTCTGGCAGAAACTGTTGAAACGCAGAAATCTCTACAGTACTGTTGAACTGCGAAACTCTGGCAGTACTGTTTTTTACTGCAAAATCTCTGGAAAGTACTGTTGTTACTCAGTATCTCTCAAGTCTGTTGAACTGCAGAATCTCTGGCAGTACTGTTGTTACTGCAGAAACCCCTACATACTGTTGATATTTGCAGAAAAATCGGTGGCATACTTTTTTGAAAACCGCAAAACCCTCTGGCAGTACGGTTGTTACGGCATATCTCGGCATATTTGTTTTTCCCCCAAGTATCTCTGGCGTACTTTTTGTTACTGCGTACTCGGCATGTATTTTACTGAAGTATCTCGGCAGTCGGGGGGTTGTTACTGCAGTATCCTGGCAGTACTTTTTGATACACTTTAATCTCGGCAGTACTGTTGTTACTGCAAAATCTCGGGCCCAGACTGTTGTTACTCCCGTATCTCGGCAGAACTTTTTGGTTACTGCAGTATTCCTGAAAGTACTGTTTTTTTAACTGCAGTATCTCTGGCATACTGTTTTTACTGCAGTTTTCTCGGGCCGTACTTTTTTTTTCCTGCAGTATCTCTGGCAGTACTGTTTTTACTCCCAGTATCTCGGGCTAAAGGCTGTTTAAAACCCGCAGTACTCTGGAAAGAAACGGTTGTTATTTGCAGTATCCCCGGCAGAACTGGTTTTACTGCATACTCGGGCTACGGGGTTTTTTACTGCGGGAAATTTTTTTTTTAGAAACGGGTTTTTTAAACAGCAGTATCTCGGCAGTATTTGTTACAGCAGTATCCTTTCAGAACTGTTTTAAAAAGCCAGTATCTCCCCAACATCATCCCCCGGGAACATTTTTAACTAAATTTTTCAAAACCCAACCCCCCAAAACAGAAACATCTCCACCACCCCTTACAAATTGCTAAACCATACATTGGTAACGATGTCTACAGTGCTTGGGGGTTTTGTACCAGGGTTTTGTGTCCCCAAGTAATGCCCCATTTTTCCAGGGGTTTTTAAAAACTACCTAATTTTTTTTGGATCCCGGGAACCCGCCAAACGGGTATGTGAAATATCGTGAAGAAATGAAAACCTTGGAAGGGGCTCATTTTTTCGAAAAATAAAATAATTTTCCCATTAAGTCTAAAAAAGACCCATTGTGATCTTTATAATTCTGTTGTTTTTTTGGCTTAGGGGGGGACAGCAAAAAACTTTTACTCTGCAAACAACTACTACAACTATTTTTTAATTACACTACTACTGTTACTACTATTATTTCTGCTGCCGGCTAAAAACGTTGCTGCTACTTTTTGTTTTTCCCTGCGGCTGCGGGCATTCTTTTCACGTCCCACTTTATCTCTAGTGGCATTTTCCATCTCCCCCCGGGAATTTTCTTTCCTGTTCCTTCACCCTCGAGTTTTGGTTGGTGCGGCAAGATTTAAGGGCCACTTACCTCCCAACCCCCCGGGCCAGTAGGGGTTTCCCTTCGCCAGGGAGAGCCGGGGGGGCCCCCCAAATGCCAGGCCCAGGGGCCAGTACCACTCCCGGGAGGGGGGTTTTGGCCCTCTCTAAAGCCACAAACTTTTTGCACCCAAGGCGCATCAAAAACCAGCAGTGAGAGCCCAGGAGGGAGGTTCCCGGGTTGTCGCTTTTCCTGTGTTCTTTTTGTGCTGGTTCCGGGTCGGCCCGGGTCGGGTCGATGGGGTGGGTCGGGTCGGCGGGGGGGTGGGTCACCCCTGATCAACAGAAGGACGTACGGGTTGATTAAAAAATTTGTGTAGAAACTTTCCTGAAGCATCGGGAACCGCAGGGCCCCTGTGCTACTGAAAGGAAAATTTTTTGGCCCTTTCCCCTTTTTCCTTTGCAGGGGGAAAGGGTTTGGGCCTTCCTTCAGTCTACTGCAGGAGGGAAGGTTGGCCCTCCTTGCGCCTCTCTCAGTCGGTCAAGACCTGGTCTGATGCTCAGTGAGTGAAAGACGAGACTCACTTGTTGACTGCGAGTGTCAAAACATTTACAAGGAACATTCCGCTGCGAGAAACGTTCCTCAGACCTATGAGAGTGGAGTGTACAACAGGTGGCTGGTACTCTAAGACAGTCACAGACGCTCTTGTGTGGAGTACCGCAATACACAAAGCCAGGACTGCAAGGAGGCATATATTCTCCTGTCTTATTCCTCTTCCTCCTCCTCCTCTCATCCTCGTTCCAGCCTGCATCGTCAGGAGACTGAAGGAGGAAGACCTACAACCTGCCAGACTGCTGGACGAAGTGAACGACTTGATTATGACTGTAAGTAGTACTGAGTATTCTGAATTGCCTATGACGGAAGGGATCGGAGAGGAGGGGTGAGTCTTGCAGGAGATTAGGGAGTGAGAAACGGGAAGGGATTATCTGAACTCCCAAAATGCTCCTTGCGAAGACTCCCTCCTCCCCCTCCTTTAACTTAGGATATACGTGAGAATATACAACTAAATGGATGTAATGAGGTATGATAATAGAACTAAGGCTGCCAGTGTGGTGGAGGAGTTATGCCAGAGTTAGTAGCCTCAGTAGGAGACAGAGCCATGTTTGTGTACAGTTGTGACAACATCATGTCTCCCCTCCCTCCCTCTCTTCTTTTCTCTCTCCACTCTACGGGTGATGGTGTTGATGACGATGGTAATTGTGGAAACGATGGTAATGGGGGGTGGAGAAGACGAGGCTAGGGATGGCGAGTGAGTGTCCAGAGGATAGTTACTAGTTTTTGTGATGCTGACGGTACTGGAGGTGCTAGCTGAGGTTGGAGACAGTGGTGGAGGTGCTAGCTGAGGTTGGAGACAGTGGTGGAGGTGCTAGCTGAGGTTGGAGACAGTGGTGGAGGTGCTAGCTAAGGTTGGAGACAGTGGTGGAGATGCTAGCTGAAGTTTGAGACAGTGATGGAGATGCTAGCTGAGATTGGAGACAGTGATGGCGGTGCTACCTGAGACTGGAGACAGTGGTGGAGGGTGCTAGCTGAGGTTGGAGACAATGGCGGAGGTGCTAGCTGAGGTTGGAGAAAGTGATGGAGGTACTACCTGAGATTGGAGACAGTGGTGGAGGTTTTACCTTGATGAGCTAGTGTTTCCTGGGATCACCGACCCCTGGAGGTCTGGTCTCATACCACGCCTTCTGGTCCTAGTTGGTATTTTAAACAAATAAACCAAGTCCTTGCAACACACAGTTATAACAGTGTGTCATCTCTACACTTCAAGACACGAGGCTGTTGGTAATTCCTCTTATTCTTGAGAGAGAGTATTGGAAACCTCTTGGCTCACTCCTGGAATCTTTAACATTTCCTGCACTAAATGCCCCACACTAAAGTTTTTTTTTTCTCTCTATTCGTTGTACCTCTTGTTCGTGTAAGGAAGTATGTCAGACTGAAGACTTGTAAATATTCGCCACTTCCTCTTCTGGGTTTAAATTATAATGGATCTTGCCACCAAAATGGCTAGTTTATTGTGTGCCTCATATCCATCCTGTGGATGGTAGTGGCTAGTTTATTGTGTGCCTCCTATCCATCCTGTGGATGGTAGTGGCTAGTTTATTGTGTACCTCATATCCATCGTGTGGATGGTAATGGCTAGTTTATTGTGTACCTCATATCCATCGTGTGGATGGTAGTGGCTAGTTTATTGTGTACCTCATTCCATCCTGTAGATGGTAGTGGCTAGTTTATTGTGTACCTCATATCCATCCTGTGGATGGTATTGGCTAGTTTATTGTGTACCTGGTGTGGATGTGATGCTGGTGATGACTGTGCTGGTGTGGATGTGATGCTGGTGGTGACTGTGCTGGTGTGGATGTGATGCTGGTGTGGATGTGATGCTGGTGGTGACTGTGCTGGTGTGGATGTGATGCTGGTGGTGACTGTGCTGGTGTGGATGTGATGCTGGTGGTGACTGTGCTGGTGTGGATGTGAAAGCGGTGTGGATGTGATGCTGGTGGTGACTGTGCTGGTGTGGATGTGATGCTGGTGGTGACTGTGCTGGTGTGGATGTGGATGCGGTGGTGACTGTGCTGGTGTGGATGTGATGCTGGTGGTGACTGTGCTGGTGTGGATGTGATGCTGGTGGTGACTGTGCTGGTGTGGATGTGATGCTGGTGGTGACTGTGCTGGTGGGATTTTATCTGGTGGTGACTGTGCTGGTGTGGATGTGATGCTGGTGGTGGGCTGTGCTGGTGTGGATGTGATGCTGGGGTGACTGTGCTGGTGTGGGTGTGATGCTGGTGGTGACTGTGCTGGGTGGATGTGATGCTGGTGGTGACTGTGCTGGTGTGGATGTGATGCTGGTGGTGACTGTGTGATGATGAGTTAGTGTGATGATTGACAGAGTGGGCGTGATAGCAGTGTGGATTAAGCGTGGGCGTGATGGAGTGGGTGTGTGTGAGGAGGGAAGGGGGAGGTGTGGGTGTGCAGGTTAATGACCTTACATAAAGTTTAACACCTGGCAAGGTAGACTAAACATCTCACCTTCAAGGTCAGCCAGACCATCAAACCTCAAGGAAGACGGTGACAACGACGCTACAGTAGACAACGATGCTAGACAACGACACTACAGTAGACAACGATGCTAGACAACGACACTACAGTAGACAACGACACTACAGTAGACAACGACACTACAGTAGACAACGATGCTAGACAACGACACTACAGTAGACAACGATGCTAGACAACGACACTACAGTAGACAACGACACTACAGTAGACAACGACACTACAGTAGACAACGATGCTAGACAACGACACTACAGTAGACAACGACACTACAGTAGACAACGACACTACAGTAGACAACGACACTACAGTAGACAACGACACTAGACAACGACACTACAGTAGACAACGATGCTAGACAACGACACTACAGTAGACAACGACACTACAGTAGACAACGACACTACAGTAGACAACGACGCTAGACAACGACACTACAGTAGACAACGACACTACAGTAGACAACGACACTACAGTAGACAACGACACTACAGTAGACAACGACACTAGACAACGACACTACAGTAGACAACGATGCTAGACAACGACACTACAGTAGACAACGACACTAGACAACGACACTACAGTAGACAACGACACTACAGTAGACAACGACACTACAGTAGACAACGACGCTACAGTAGACAACGAAGCTAGACAACGACACTACAGTAGACAACGATGCTAGACAACGACACTACAGTAGACAACGACACTACAGTAGACAACAACACTACAGTAGACAACGACGCTACAGTAGACAACGACACTGCAGTAGACAACGACGCTACATTAGACAACGACACTACAGTAGACAACGACACTACAGTAGACAACGACGCTAGACAACTACACTACAGTAGACAACGACGCTACAGTAGACAACGACACTACAGTAGACAACGACGCTACATTAGACAACGACACTACAGTAGACAACGACGCTAGACAACGACACTACAGTAGACAACGACACTACAGTAGACAACGACACTACAGTAGACAACGACGCCCACAGTAACAACGACACTACAGTAGACAACGACACTACAGTACAAACAAACGACACACGTAGACAACGACACTACAGTAGACAACGACGCTAGACAACGACACTACAGTAGACAACGACACTACAGTAGACAACGACACTACAGTAGACAACGACGCTAGACAACGACACTACAGTAGACAACGACGCTAGACAACGACACTACAGTAAAACAATGACGCTAAAATAGACAAACGACACTACAGTAGATAAAGACAAATACAGTAAGACAACGACACTACAGTAGACAACGACACTAGACAAAAGACACTACAGTAGACAACGACACTAGACAAAAAGACACTACAGTAGACAACGACACTACAGTAGACAACGACACTACAGTAGACAACGACACTAAAAGTAGACAACGACCTACAGTAGACAACGACACTAGACAACGACACTACAGTAGACAACGACACTACAGTAGACAACGACGCTAGACAACGACTCTACAGTAGACAACGACACTACAGTAGACAACGACGCTACAGTAGACAACGACACTACAGTAGACAACGACACTACAGTAGACAACGACGCTAGACAACGACACTACAGTAGACAACGACACTACAGTAGACAACGACGCTAACAACGACACTACAGTAGACAACGACACTACAGTAGACAAACGACGCTACAGTTTAAAAACGACACTACAGTAGACAACGACACTACAGTAACAAAAGACCCCTACAGTAGACAACGACACTACAGTAGACAACGACGCTACAGTAGACAACGACACTACAGTAGACAACGACACTACAGTAGACAACGACACTACAGTAGACAACGACGCTACAGTAGACAACGACACTACAGTAGACAACGACAATTACAAATAGACAACGACACTTCAGTAGACAACGACACTACAGTAGACAACGACACTACAGTAGACAACGACACTACAGTAGACAACGACACTAGACAACGACACTACAGTAGACAACGACACTACAGTAGACAACGACGCTAGACAACGACACTACAGTAGACAACGACACTACAGTAGACAACGACGCTACAGTAGACAACGACACTACAGTAGACAACGACACTACAGTAGACAACGACGCTAGACAACGACACTACAGTAGACAACGACCTACAGTAACAACGACGCTAAAAGTAGAAAAACGAACTACAAATAGACAAAGACACAACAGTAGACAACACGCTAGACAACGACACTACAGTAGACAACGACACTACAGTAGACAACGAGCAACAGTAGACAACGACGCTACAGTAAGACAACGACACTAAAGTAGACAAAAGACACTACAGTAGACAACGACGCTTTGAAAAAAACGACAACTACAGTAGACAACGACACTACAGTAGACAACGACGCTACAGTAGACAACGACACTACAGTAGACAACGACACTACAGTAGACAACGACGCTAGACAACGACACTACAGTAGACAACGACACTACAAAGACAACGACGCAAACAACGACACTACAGTTGAAACAACGACGCTAAACAACGACACTACAGTAGACAACGACACTACAGTAGACAACGACACTACAGTAGACAACGACGCTACAGTAGACAACGAAAAGCTAGACAATGACACTACAGTAGACAAGACACTACAGTAGACAACGACACAAAAGTAAGACAACGACACACAGTAGACAACGACGCTAAACAACGACACACATAGACAAGACACTACAGTAGACAACGACGCTACAG